TGATATTGGTTACACAAAGTTGATCTACAATCTATTTTATATGAATTTGGAAATAGTTACACCCTACCCTTAAAAAACAAAAAACCATATATTCTAGCCCAATCTTTGAAACTTCGAGTCAAATAGAAAATGGTAAAAAATGTGGGGAAGATTTAAGAAGAGTTAACCCAGTGATCATCACAATATCACATGATTATCATTCAGCCTAGGTTTGGGTTAGGTTAGGGGCATAGTTTAGGCCAGTCTATTTAATTTTGGCAAACAAATGACGTCATGATATTGGGTGAGTCAATAGAAATCAAGCAAATATTTTATAATGATAAAAATTTTTTTAAATAATTTTTACAAACTTGTAGAATTAATTTTAAAAAAAATTTTATTAATTTGATTAAGTCTTTGTTAAGTTATCCTGTTTAAAGTTTAAAAAATTTATTAAAAAATATTTGCTTGGTTTCTATTGACTCAACCCCATATATTTATTAAATGATCGTCGATCACTGGGTTAACTGTTCTTAAAGTGCCCCAAAAATTTGATCTCTGCTAATTCAATTTCATAATGGCCAATTCTATTTTGACCCGGGTCAAAGTAACCCATCACACGATCATATACTGTACCTAGGAATTTTCAAAACTTTGAGCAAAAGTATCTCGATAACCATCAAATCAAATTCGATAAAACTTTTTTTATTAAAATCCTATTGATTCATAGAATTCAAATAAAAAAATTTCATCGAATTTAGTCAGATATCTTCGCTCTAAGTTAAAGAAAAATCACAACTCTTTAACAAAATAGAAGCTGCGCCAAATTTTTTCTCTAATTTTGAATGAAGATATCTTGACACCTACCAAACCAAATTTGATAAAACTTTTTTTATTTGAATTTCCTGGATTCATAAAATTCGAATAAAAAAATTTTATCGAATTTAGTCAAGTAGTTGTCGAGATATCTCTATTTTGATAGGCGTTTTGACTTTTCTCTAACTTTGAGCGAATATAACTCGACAACCACTGATTAAATCGATGAAAATTTTTTTATTCAAATTCTATGAACCCATAAAATTTAAATACAAAAGTTTTAACGAATTGGTTCGATGGTTGTCAAGATATCTTCGTTCAAAGTTTTAAAAGAATTTGATATTTTGATAGGCGGTTTGATTTTTTCTAACTTTGAGCAAAGATATCCCGACAACCGCTAACTAAATTCGATGAAAATTTTTTATTAAAATTCTATGAATTCATAAAATTCAAATACAGTAAAAAAAATTTTATCGAATTTAGTTTGATGGTTGTCAAGTTATCTTCGATTAAAGCTTTAAAAAGAATTTAGTGCAGCTTCTATTTTGATAAACGTTTGATTTTTTTTCTAAATTTGAGCGAAGATATCTCGGCAAACAATTGACTAATTCGATGAAATTATTATTTTTTTTATTCAAATTCTATGAATCCATAGAATTCAAACAAAAAAGTTTTATCAAATTTGGTTTGATGGTTATCGAAATATCTTTGATAAAAATTAAAGAAAACTTTTGGTGCAACTTCTATTTTATAGGTGGTTTGATTTTTCTTTAACTTTGAGCGAAGATTTCTTAATAAATATCTGATTAAATTTGATGAAAACTTTTTTATTTGAATTCTATGAATCCATAGAATTCAAATAAAAAAAGATTTATTGAAATTGGTTTGATGGATTGTCGAGATATCTTCGCTCAAAGTTTTGAAAATTCTTGGGCATATGGTCACATGATGGATCACTTTGATCCGGGTCAAAATAGAATTGGCCTTTTATAATAAATAAAATTAATTTTAAAAATCTTGATATTCGGATATCTGTTAAGTTAGGAAGCGTACAAACGTACTTTTGGATGACGAAATTATTGTTCAAAAATCAGCTGGAAAATCAAAAATATAACTTGGAATTCTTTGTCCGTCTGCACGCGTGTTCAAATTTGTAATTCAGTGTGACAATAACATGTGTTTGCACAATAAGATATTGTCATATGATACGCTCTGGGCACATATAGAGTTATTCCCTTAATTATAAGCATCAATAAATTGTGTACTCAAATACTTTATGCACTGGGTAGACCATCTCTCCATAGTTAATAGTTATAATTAAGTAGCACATTTGAAATCAAATATTTTTAAATTATCGATTTCAATAAAGTATTTATTTACACTTTGATGCCAATAATTTAAGTTTAACATAAGGGATCCTACTCTAAATTCAATTTATTAAAATCAATTTTATTAGTGGGTCCCTTATTAAACTTGATCTTACTTGTCTATATAAGGATATTATGGTTTTTAGATTTTTTGCACCGTACGTACGTACGTACCACACATTTTCTTATTATAGGTTAATGGCCTTCCCAACAATTTTTCGCTTTTTTTTTCGCTTTGTTTTATTTCGTTGATATGGAATGATCAAATTTCGCAATTTGATTGGTTGATCACAATAAACATTGCGTAAGCTGTTGGGTAATGAAATAACATTAACAGCATCACGCGCATAGGACTTATTATCGAATATACTTAAAACCTATGTTAGGATAAATTGGTATCACTGCATAAACTATCAAAGAAAAACACGTTAAACTATAAATTAACATTTATATTCGCGGAGAACAGCTCCGTAGCAAAAATTTACTTTTTAGTTCGCTCAATTATATATAGTATAGATATGAGTTCGAATCAGTCAGAAGGAATTTCTACTCCAATAATAAGCTACCATCAGGATAATGATGTACCAAATGGTAAGAACTACGTACGTACGTACTGTACGTGTGTTAAAAAATTTCTCAAATTCAGATCATTATTTAGCAAAACACTAATACATCACATGATACAAATTTAAGGATTGAACCTAGATCTGAAGGAGTTAAAGGAGTATGACTATTTGGCATTTAGCGATATTACTTATATTGGTCGAGGGGCATTCTCATATGTGTTTTCAGCAGTATTTCAAGGAAAAAACTATGCTTTGAAGCAAGTGCACAAAAAAAAATGTATTTAGGTGATAAGACAATAATTCGTGAGGTATTTATTTATTCAATTTTAAACTATCATTATCCAAACCAATTAACGTTAATCATAAAATAGCTTGAACTCCTTCATCTCTTTCATGAAGTCAATCATCCTAATGTCATTAAATTTTATGGAATTTCAAAAGGTATTGAAAAAACCATTTCACTTTTAAACCTGAATTGATCTGACCCAGATTAGATCTTTTGGGCCAGATTAGTGTAATACCGTCGGGGTGAAATCTATCGAATTCGCCAGCATTGGTGAAGATCACCTTTGTTATAGGCTAAATGACTGATTAGTGCTCTGCAAAATCAACCTTTTTTGCCACTCAAATACATGCGATGGGCTGATTTTTAAATCAATACAGCAATATAGCATTACTGTATTATCGCATTACCATTACCATATTGCTGTATTGATTTAAAAGCCAGAACAAAAGTTTGATTTTACCGAGCACTATGACTGATCACTTACAGCAAATATGTAGATTCCAGCCCTTAGCTCTTGAATTACGTAGTAGATCAGTATTGTAATAATTTCATATTTTCAGATCCACGAACGAATGATTTTAATATGGTACTAGAATTAGCTGACAGCGGAACTCTACGGAAGTTTTTAAAAGGAAAGCAACGAGATGGAATTTTAGAATTTTATGGGCTGACGTCATTCAAATTGCAAAGGATATAGCCTCTGGTTTGAATTATATGCATACTAAAAATATTGTTCATCGAGATCTAGTAAGCTACAGATATTTATATAACTTTTCTAACGTTGCTTTGATGAGATCCTAATTCATTTTTAACATTATATAGCATTCTAAAAATATTCTTATAAATAAAGGAAAAGCACTTATTGCTGACTTTGGATTATCAAAAAATTTGAGTGAGGTTGCCTCTTCAATCTCAAGTGTACATGGCATGATAGCTTACATTGAACCACAATGTTTTATTCAACCTGATAGAAAAGTTGAACGAGATTATAAATCTGATATTTATAGTTTAGGTGTATTGTTCTGGGAACTCACAAGCGGAGTTCCTCCATTCTCACATGTTCTCAGTTGTGCTATAAATATGTATATTGCGAGAGGTGATCGAGAAAAAGTGATCCCAAACACACCACAGGAATATGTCAACCTTTATAAGAAATGCTGGTCTTCTGAGCGAGACAAACGTCCAACTTTTGATAAAATTTTCGGTGTTCTCAATATGATGTCCGAAACAACTATTGAATTCATAACCAATGATGTTACTGATACTCAATTGACACCTACATTAGTTAGTTCCGTTGTTGAAATAAATCAAGATTCTAAATCTATCAAAGAGGACGATGTTTATGGAGATTTAATGATTTATTGAATATTTTTGGGGGACTAACAAATCTTGGATATGAATTTTCCCAAATTTCCGATAAAATAAAAGAAATTATTAAGAATCACAATCAAGAGGAGAATAAGGTGTTTGCTATTCTTAGTAAATCACCAAATCTTAATTTGAATTTGCAATGTCTTTTTGGATTTTTTTATTTAATAGGAATTGGAACTGATGCATATCCCGATACTGCATTCGAGATTTTTAAAAAGGTACAGTGCGCGACACTTAAAGACTACACAAACTTTAAAAGCCAATAACGTTTGATCTAAAAAAGATATTTAAAAAAGGAAGCCGCTATTTTGTAGCTTAATCAATTTGCTACAACTTAGCAGCCCCGCCAGGGTCTAGACACTTTTGCAGTAACGTGACGTGGCGCATAAAAAATGACCAATTGGAATTCGTAAATTTCGATCATCCCGGATCAGTCCGACGTCAAAACAAAACACGTGTGCAAGAAGAAAAAAGTGAAAAAAGTGAAAATACTCGAAAACTGGTGTTTAAATCGGCCTTTAAGCACTAATAAAAAGTGTCGGAAATGCAATTTTACATATAATATATAAAGCTAAAAACCCTAACACCAACCCTAACACCAACCCAAACCCAAACCCTAAACTAAAGCAAAAAAATACGCCACACCACATGATGGTCACGTTACTGCAAAAGTGTCTAGACCCCTGGAGGGGCCCAACATAGCGGCTTTATTTTTTAAAAAATTATAATTACTTTTTAAAATATGTAGCTTTAAAAATATAGTATTTTTATATAATCGCATATGAAAAAAAGTTAAAAATAAGACATATTAAAAAAAGTAACCAATTAAATTAGTTTAAATTTATATAATAAAATTTTAAACCATTTTAATCAATCAAAATTCATGAAATTTGACAAATAAAAATTAAGTAACTATAAAAACATTAAAAATCAATGTTTTAAATAATAAAGTGTTAAAATTTTAAAAATGGGACAAATGTAACCTTTAAGTATTGCACACTGTAGCACATGGAAATAATGCTATAGGAAAATTTTATCTTGGTGAATGTTTTAAAAATGGTTATAGAACAAAAAAAGACATAAAAAGGGTATATATTACCATGAAAAATCAAATGAAGAATGTGCAAGATCTGACAATAGTTTAGAACTTTGTTATTTGAATGGAAAAAGAATTAAAAATGATAAACAAAAAGCATTTGAATGCTTTGAAAAATCGTATAAAAATGGTTGTATTTCGGCATGTAATAATTTAGAAGGTTGTTATGAGCTTGAAATATTTACAAAAAAAAATGAAGAGGAAGCATTTAAGCATTATTAAATGGCAGCTAATTATAATATTCCATCTGGGCAAAGTAATGTTGCAAAATGTTATAAAAATGGAATTGGTGTGACAAAAAATATAATAGCAAAAGAATGGTATAAAAAAGCAGCAGATAATGGACACAAATATTCTAAAGATATATTAGCTAAGTTGAATAATTATAAAAAAGAATCAATTTTTTTTCCAATTTATAAGGTAATTATTAATAAATTACTATCAAAATAAACTCTTATATCCAGCATTTCATAACATTATTAATAATAATTTAGAAAAAATAAAAAACAGAAGTTGACAATAATAATTCTATGAAAATAAAAATAAATTTTTAAGTATATATTGTACCAAATCAACTTTATATATAAGAAATTATTCAAAGTTTGTCTATGCAATTTTCTAGTAATTTTTATAAAAAACTTAAATAAAAATCATAAAACATATACATAATACTAGATCTCTAATGTCATATATAACATTTAGTCTATATATTATTGTTACTTATATAAAGGTTTAGTGCTTATTACGTGACGAAAGATAGAAATAATTTGAAAGCTTTATTATTGACTATACAATTTTTCTTATGATACAAATGTTCAAATTTTTTTTCCATATTGCACAGTATGAATTAAACCGGGCTTATAATCGTCAGACAACTTTTATAATAATAACCAGGTTTGTTTACAAAATTGTGAATATTTTCTGGTCTCATACTGCAACACATGATTGGCCGAGAATCAGCTAATCAAGTATTATGAGACCAGGAAAATATTCATGATATTGTATTTGGAAATTGGAATAGAATTAAGGTATTAACATGTAAGTCTCAAAGAACTGAGCATAAGAAATATAGTAAGGAAATCCAGGCACCTCAATCATCTTAGTACGTACGTACATCCTTAACCATTTTGGTATCTACTTGTATTTTCTGAAAATGTGAAGTTATATACATAATAGACCTTTTAAGAATTAAGCTTAATTCATATTCATTTTGCTCTTATCTAAATATACATTATAAATGTGTCTTTGATTATTGTCATGGAGTTTACTAGACTATTGTATTCATTAACCTTTACTAATGGGCTTTACTCATCGTTTATTGGGTATGCGATATTAAATGATTAACAAATATAAGCATTTCGGTGGATTGGCAAAATTGGACCTTTTTTAGATCATCTGAATTTGAACCCTATTCATTTTATTAATCATTAATAAAATATGTCATTCTCTGATATACTAACTGATATCTATATAATTTATTAATTTGATATAGTTATTATTACCCTTAAAATGATTAATTTAGGGCCTGATTAAAAGGGCCAATTCTGCCGATCCGCCGAAATAGTTATACTCATATGATAAATTAATATGATCAGATTTTTTTATGGCTGTTTCACAAATTCTTTTTTTATTTTATTGTTATCAGTTATATCGATATCTACTTAAAATTGACAAGTTTATCTGTTATTGTTATACAATCAACTCTCTTTATATATAATACTCTCTTACGCTCTCTTTATATATAACTAAATGAACTAAAAGTTATAATAGTTCAGTTAAATTTATATGGTAAACATTTTTTATATCCAGAACCAACGGCTCATTATAAAGAGTGTTGACTGTGATTTTGTCAGAAATACACTTATTTGTATATTACTAGCGACGTGAGTATATATATTTTGAAATTTTTATTTCGATATATATGCTTTATAATAACTTTTATTACTAAATACTTATCTGATTTTTTTGTTATTAGTTATTTAATCCCAGAGTGTTTAGTTTAAAGAGTAATGTTATTATATCAACATAAAAAAAATAAGTAGATGTCGAATTAAAAAAAACCAAGAATGTATTAATTAGACTACTAAGAGAAAAAGGAAGATTATATTTTGATGTTGAAGGGTTAATGACGAAGTGTGAAATTTTAAGAAGTATGTAAGCGAATATTTTAGCCTGAAAGTTTTAAAATTTTTTTAAGTTTTTTAATTGCAGTTTGTTCTCTATTAATGGATTCATCTTCAATTATAGCTCTTTTCTGCTTATTTTTTAAATGAACATTTGATAGTTTTTCTAGAGTAAGTGAAGTTTCAAAGGGCTTAGGTCTCGAGAGTTGTATTCTTGATTTTTGTAATCTTATATACATATTAGGATGAGTTTTGAGATCATATTTATTAAACATTCCCTCAAGATGCTGCTGATGGATGATTATGGGCCAAATTCTGTGTTTGATAAAATCATATACTAGTGGGTAATTGGATATTTCAGTAGAAGTAGACTAAGAAAAGGCCAAAAATTGTTCTTGAAAATTATTATCTTCTAATGCCTAAAATAAACTAAAGGTTTCTTGTTTTTTTGTTTCCAAATCATTTACTAATTTGTCTACATATTTTTTTTGTATTTCTGTAAGATTATTTGAAAATTGAATATTTAATATAACTTTAATAACTGCAACTGCAAAATTGGGACTATGAATCTCTCCAAGCTGACATATAGAAAGAGATAAATGTGTTCATGGGTTCATTCATTTTTTGAATGCCTCTAATGCTTTTATTAACCAATTTTCAATTCTATTATTAAGATCAATAAATTTATCTTCAGGTAAAATTTCGTAGACCAATAATAACTTCTCTACAAAAACTTTATCTGGAGTTTTATTGCTGTTTGTAATTCATTAATCCACTGCTTTACATTATCTGGCATTTTACTTGCTCTAAATCCATTTGAAAGATTTGTAAAATTCATATCCTTACCAATTAGAAAAAACATCACTTTTTTATAAAACTATTCACCAAAATGGGCCATAATTTGAATTTTTATATTTAATTTATCATTTTGCAAGAAGTTATAAAATGCTTTCCACTTTTCTAAATAACATTATTTGCTATTTGTAGTTGATTAATAAACCAACTAGAAAATTGTAAGTAAATATCTCTTTGATGCAAATATTGTTTAGCCATAGTCAATTGATATAACCAATGACTAAAAATTGGTTTTTGATATTTTTTAAGATTATAATTTATTAATGTTTTATATAATTCATTAATTATCTCTGTTTTCATATTTAGTGGATTGTTCTTATCAGAATCATTGTACCTGCAATGAAGGTAATAAGCTAAGTTAAGAACATTAAATAGATACAGTTTTAAACAAATTCCAGATAATGATTTAGTTTTTCTAAAAGTTATATTATTAAAATGTATTGAAGCTATATGTAATACATGTAGCCCACAGGGAATTTAAAAAATATTGCTTATTAAATTTAACTACAGCACCAGCTATTGATCCAGATATATAAGCTGTATTATCTGTAAGCCAATATTGGCATTAAGCTAGATTTAACGAATTTCTAATAATAGCTTCTCCAACACTTGAAGAAACCATTGATGCTGAATATTGGTCTATATTTTTCATATTAATAATAGTAAGCATAGGTTCTTGCTTTTTTTCATTCCAATAAAAGATATATACTAAAAATATTTTTTTCTTCTCTTGTACTTTTATCTGCTAGAATACTATATAAACTAAATTGGCTAGAAAGTTGAGGTAAATTATCTTGTACAAAAATTTGTGCTACTTCATTTGTCTATTGAGATAATATACTTGTAGATAACCATAATTGAGAAGAATAACTAGTAAGAAATGCTACTATTTATTTTGTATATTGTACTGTTGATGCTAT